GTGATTGTCTGAATCAGTGGTAAAGAAAGGGTTGAAAAGGACACAGATTTTCCTAACTGCGAGGTTGTAAATTCTTGCATTTTTCTCTGACCGCACATTCATTTAAACATGGATAATATTACTTAAATCTTATCTACAATTATTTATTTTCCCATTCTAATATTTCTTATTTACGCTTTCTAATTCCACAGAATCCTGTTTTCTTAGAAAAGTTTTCCATCAAAGAACTTTCGCCCGTGGATTTTACCGAAAATGCAGCTCTGGAATTCCATGTCTATTCTTCAGAAGGTCGAGGCAGACGCCATTTGCTTGGCGTTTGTTCTATCTTGTTAAAAGAAGTTGATAATCTAACGGACGGCAAGGCGAATCTTAGCCTCATTCCACAGACTGTATTCCGGGTGAGTGTATCCGCATTGTATATGTTTACTTTTTGCACCAGGAATCTGCCCATTTCTGGACAATGTCAAACAAATATACAAAATATGTAAGACATATATACTCGGTGATGTCGAAGAAGAACCCCATTCCCCACAAAAATAATTCTAATATCAAGTCATTTGGTCAAATTATGGGAGTTCTGAGGAATTAAGAACTGTTCAGTGCCTGCTCATATTATTGTGTGCGATTAACACTTTTCTACGTCATCAAAATAGTCCCCTACAGAAATATGAGCGAATTTCCCATATCTGTACATTGGAGTCTCTGATATCACAGAATTTTAAATTATTTTGAGAAATAAATGTCATAATTCTTAAATTATTTTTAGCTTTCAGAATATTTTACCTTGTAAATAAATGGATAGTAATGTTCTATTTGTATTGTGACAATATTTTGCATGATGTGTATTTTGTTTGTAGAGAACATTTAATATTTTTTAAATCTCTGGTCACGGCACCAATATTGTAACAAGTTATATAGTGTTGAGGACTCACTTCCTCGTTAATCCTTTTTGACAAAATATTCGGTTATGATACCTAAAATGTATCAAGGCTGGAAAAGCTTGAATACAAACATTGTAGGTTTCGACAAGGCAGGAATGAAGCTCAAATCGTTATTATTGGCCAATTTCCCTGTTTCTGCTGTTATTCGAAACAACAAGTTGGACCGCGTTAGCCTCCTCAACGCATGTCAGTAAAACAGAATTCATCAGAATGATCTGTTTTTCTCTGCTATGGCAGAAGTGATAACACTGATTGTTTGTTCCAATCCCTATTAGAAAAACTGCCAAAACATAACCCACCTCTTCAAATTTAAAGACAAATTCTACAGATGCATGCTAGGATTTCTTCTGAGCTTCATCCCCCATATTTTTGTTCTTTCTTCTCTTGGTGCCAGAACGCTGCGATAACTTGACTGTAGCTCATTTGTATACCAATATCATTCTTAGTTTTTATCATTTTTGCCTCATTACTGTTGCTTTGCCGACTTTTGCCTTGAATATATTTTTTGCCTAGCATTATTTTTGGCCTGTGCTTTTCTTTCTTTTCTTATTTTTTATTACAAATTTTGATAGTTCTATACGTTGGACATTTTTTTTAAGCTTTTCATCCCAAGCAAGGCGGGAGTGTCACTAGCACGAAAGGGGTTACAGAGGATTGAGAACAAGAGTAAAGAGGCAGAAAAGGATGAAGAGAAAGACGGGGAATAGATCAAGCCATCTGGAGATGCTGATTGACATTGCAATTGAATATTTGGAGATTACAGCTATCAGGGAAGCAAGTAAGAGGAAGGGAGTTCCACAGACGGGAAGTGCGAGACATGAAGCTATTTGAGTAGAAGAAACCGCTACATTTAACCGTTTCGACAGTGAGAAGGTGAGGCTGAGATGCCGACCTAGTGGCGCGTTTAAATTCATGCAGTTTGGGAACTAGCGAAAGTAACTCGTCGGAGCAGTTACCGTGGAAGTATTTGTAGAAAAGACAGAAGGAGGCGTCTGTGAGAGAGCGACTGTAAATGATATGACAGATCAGAGCCAATCACATTGCATATCCGTCTCTGGATTTTGTCGACGACTTTAAGGCGAACAGCGGGGGCACCAGACCATATATGGCAGTAGTATTCCATGCAAGTTCGAATGGTTGATTTATAGATTTGAAGGATGGACTCAGGCAAGAAAAACTTTCTGGTGCGACACAGAGAGCCAAAATACATTTGACCATGTTCATTTTCTCTATACTGATATTATTAATCCATGGTTACAAGATGGACTTGTTTTTTTTCTAACCTCAGAAATCCTTTAAGTCCTTTACATATTGCCAGTTCGTAAAACATAGCTTCTCCCTGAACCATGAACTATTAGCCAGTGGCAGGTGACTGAATTATTTCAGATCTAAAACGTTTGCTGGTCAAAAATACAACTGTTCACTCTTACTTAATACTAAAAGTTCTGCTTTCTCCTGTCCTCCGATTGGCCTGTCAATATGATCATAAACCAATCAATGATTATTCCCTCACCTCTGAACTTTCTGTTGTACTCTGTTACCGACTAAGATTAACAACATTGACATAACATTTCATAAATTTTGAAAAACTTATATCAATAATTTGTTCCAAATAGAATGTTTTTTTATTCGAATGAAATGTTTACCAATGTATTATTGCTATGTTTATAAAATCCTGGCTTCTCTTTTGCATGTCGATAACTAATACGCTACCAACACATTCTATTCAATGAATATTTCTTTGTGGGTCAAAAGACTCCATTTCGGCTTTCTTCAAGAACCAACTTAAAATCCGATCCTATGTCCGAATGTTTTTTCATTTGTCTTAATATATCGTATCAATTAAAGAGAGATATTGTTCCAATATTAGTACAACATTCGTTTTATTAACTCATCTATCTTACTGCATTTTCCATTGATTAATTTTCTTTTGAATCTGTCTATATTTCTGAGGTGAGGTATTAGGTACACTATTTACATTATTCGGACTATTGTCCTCATCATTGTCGCCGTATTTATTACAACATTTCGGCCCTTCAGTATCTGTCTATATTTCTGACATGAGGTATTATGTACACTATTTACATTATTCGGACTATTGCCCTCGTATTTGTCGCCATATGTATTACAACGTTTCGACCCTTCAGTATCTGTCTATATTTCTGAGATGAGGTATTAGGTACACTATTTACATTATTCGGACTATTGTCCTCACCTTTGTCACCATATTTATTACAACGTTTCGACCCTTCAGTATCTGTCTATATTTCTGAGATGAGGTATTATGTACACTATTTACATTATTCGGACTATTGTCCTCATATTTGTCGCCGTATTTATCACAACGTTTCGACCCTTCAGTATCTGTCTATATTTCTGAGATGAGGTATTATGTACACTATTTACATTATTTGGACTATTGTCCTCATATTTGTCGCCGTATTTATTACAACGTTTCGGCCGTTGTACGCTCCGGCCTTCTTCAGGTGGTTGGAATGTCGAACCACCTGAAGAAGACCGGAGCTTACAACGGCCGAAACGTTGTGATAAATATGGCGACAAAGATGAGGACAATAGTTCGAATAATGTAAATAGTGTAATTTTCTTTATTTATTTTAAAACTTTTTTTTTATTTACTTAAATCAAGTCTATTTAAAACCACCTTTGACTTACAACAATGTTGAGAAAACAGCCCTACACAAATGACTCCGCCAAAGTATTGTACAAGGCGTTTCAAAAAATGTGATGAGAAGTATATATGTGAGTGACTATATAGTCGAGGCAAATGAAACTAAACAGGCTTATTGTCGAGCCAAATATGATTTATTCATCAAAATTTGAATGGGAAATTCAATGTTATACGGATTACATGAACGATTTCACATGTGTACCCCACTTGTGATACGGCACATGTCAAATCGAGCACAGACAGACTTCTTTGAACTTTTGTGCTATGTCCATATCTGCATTGCAGTTGGTGCATTTTAAAGATTGTACGCTGCACAATCTTGTTCGACCGTTTCAAGCATATTCTAACAGACAAAACGCCTTTTCTTTTCCAATGAATGACATTTCTATAGCTGAAAAGAAAAAGAAAGAAAACATAAAACAGAATTTTGTGTTGTTACAAGAATCAGGTTTGAAATAACCAATTGCAGAAACAACGCTACAATTGATGTTCTGATTTATTTTTTGCTGTGATTCACTATTGTCCTTTCTCTTCACTTCTGCTTGCAGTTGCATCAAGGAGATCTGCGAATTTCTGGCTGTTATCAACCCGTCGCCGGGAAAATGGTTTTCAATGTTATCGAAGCAAAGAACATACCAAAAGTAACGTTGGTGGGAACTGTCAGTAAGTAGAATGGCAACAAAAATACAATATCCAAGATCAATTATTATTATTATTATTATTATTATTATTATTATTATTATTATTATTATTTACACTTAGACGTGTGCAGAAGTCTCTAGCATCCGCTTCTTTTGTGGAAACAAGAAATTTAAAATACAGTAGATTTGGCTTGATTTATTTTGTTTTACGGCATATCAACACCTCAATGGGTTATTTAATGCCAACAATATTTTTAGGGTAGATTCGTATGAAAAGAATATGCATTTTTTGTAAGATATTAGTTTGGAGATCAGGTTTCATTGACCTATTTTGGTAAAGATAGTTTTTGGCGCGTCACATGTATTGCTGGTAAGGTTTTTTTTGTTTGTTTTTTTTTAATCTATTGATGGTAATATTTTTTTCAGAAATGTATTGCTGGTACTTTTACTAGGAAAATCTATTTTTATACTTTCATAGTGTTTTGATCCCTTTTAAGGGATCAAAACACTATTTGCCCGTAGATGGAACCCTAACAGGTGCTACTTTCCTGGGTCAGTGTGGATCTGGAAACAACAGCAATTAAGAGACGGTTCCATGCTCCTCAAAACATCTTGAACAGAAGCCTTACTGCCGGGTGTAGTTTATCGTCATACCCTGGACAAAATATACAGTTCATAAAAAAAAGCCCATCACTTATCGACGTTCAGTGAGTAGTTATAATTGTGGATTTGCGGCCATATTTCCTTAAAACACTGGTTCTCGTACGAGCAGCAAAGTTAAGCAACGTCAATCCTGGTCAGTACTTAGATGGATGACCGCTTGGATATAACAGGTACTGTAGGCTTGGATGTGCGGGTGGTGTAATAGATTGTGAATTGTGAGTCGAAGGGACGAGTTCCATTTCCAGACGGGTTCGTTATGAGCAAATACCCTTGAGAAAGACGTGAATCCACTTCTTCTTCCTAAGGATTTATTAGTAGGACTTGTATCAGTAAACCATTATCAACCCTCTAAAAATTCTTACAATCACAAAATATATTTTCTGGCTTTAAATAACCTGTAAAAGGTTGATAAGTCGTAAAAAGTAACAAATCAATCAATCGATCAAAATGGCGGAAAACATTTCTCCAGCAGCGTGGAAATTGGAATAAACACAAACACACACACATACGTATATATACATTCATAATCTAAGAAAAATTAGAATATTTTTAAAAAATAGAGAGGATATTTGAATAAAAACTGTAATAATAATGAATTAATATTTAAAATGAAAAATATTTTATTTTCAACCAAAACTTCTATAATTTAATTGTACATTCAGTATCTCGTTTTCAAAAGCAAGTACTGAGAAGTTTTGCACACAGCATAATAAGTAAGAGGTATATGGCATCATTCTTTATAATTTTAATCTATTTATTTAATTGACTTGTCAGAAGGCTCTTTAAATGCTAAAAATCTACGTCTCAAATATAAAATAAATTGTTAAGTTCTATATCCCTACATTGGCCAAAATCTTGAATCTACCGACATATATATATATATATATATATATATATATATATCCAGGTACGATGAGAACGAATAGAGTGTAGAGTACACTTCTAACTTTCAAAACGGAATAGTCCATTAGACATGACGATTTAGTAAGCTTAGCTTATATGAGGCACAAGGCCGAAAGTATGGCACACCCAGTGAGGTCCGAAGTCACTAAGTCGTAACTGATCTAGCGAGAGAAGCGTAGCTTAGTTGTGGCACAAGGCCGAAAGTGTGGAGTACCCACTGAGGATCGAACTCACTAATCATTTGTAATGAAAAAAAGTGCATTCTCAGTGATATTTTTCTCATTAAACGTACTGGGGGTGGAAGAACGACTCTTTAATTAAACATGGCAGTTCAAATACTTCGAAACAAACCCCTGTCTCTTTCTGATCAATCCCAGTCCAGATATTTCTGTCTGGAACAAGTGCTGGCTGGGGATTTTTATTAACGACTTCTCCTGATTTAGCTGCCTGGAGGGAGGAGTTTAAGTTCAATCAAAGTGGTTCTGTTTCGCCAGCTAACCGCAAACACCTGCTGAAGCGTGACAAACAATAACCACGATTTAACACTTTTCGCTTTCACCTTTTTTTCCAAAATATAGTAACAGCTGTCCCGCGTCGATGTTGAATCACGAGAATGAATCAGTACGATTTCCCTGTTTTTCGTCGTACGGGGTTTTTCTTCAAGGGGCTCACCTTTTTTCGCTCACACTTTTTTTTGTTTACTTTTATTTATTTATTTTATATTTTACTAGCGGTAGAGCCCGGCGTTGTCCGAGGATGTAACAGTAAGAGATAGATCAAGTATCGACCATCATAAAGACTGAAAAATAAAATTAACAAAGATTATTGTTTAAGGTTGACGGACACGCATGTCTTAATTAGTTTTTTTTTTTTTTTTAGAAATTGGTCAAACCCAAACTCAAACAAAAACATTGTTTTCAATCGTTATGGATCTACTGATTGAATAGAATTTTATTATAAACAATTGTCTTGTAAATGGAATTTTTAAAGCGTTCTGAATGTAAAAATAAAGAAAAAAGTGTGCAAGACAATAAGAAACACTACCTGCCAAAAAAAAGTGAAGTTTTATTGAAATCGGTTGAAAAATGTAGGAAATCCTATCCCATATATAAACGAACACACACACACACACACACACACACACAAACAAACAAACAAACAACCTGGGTTTTATAATAAGTATAACTCGATATGAGCTGTCCCCCTTTCATTCTCGCGATGCTTCTTAATCGTGTTTTCAAATTGATTTCATGCAAAAACAATTGTATTTTTCCAATTTTGGGCGCTGTCAGAACCACCGCGAGGTAATTTTATGTAGTCCTGTGAAGTTTTGTTGAAATCGGTTGAAAAATGTAGGAAATCCGATCCAATATATAAACGTACACACACACAAACACAACCTGCGTTTTATAATAAATAAGATACTAATGTTTAACCAATACAAAGTAGAGGGTTACTATCTCGTGTTGTATGAACGTAACAAAAGGCAAGAAATAAAATTCATGGGACTGTGCGGAAAAGATGAGAGTTACCCCTAGACATGAAGAGGTCAAAATGGTAATGATTTCCGGGAATCTGTTCCACAAAGTAACAGTTCCTGGGAAGAAGCTGTCCGAATGGAAGTTCTTTCTACTGGATTACGAAAAGAACTGGTGATGATTCACACTTCTGCCTCCAACCACTGGTCAGAATTTAAAACCTAATCAGGTGCTGGTTCAAGGCACAACGCTACACAATCTTTTCTTCGCTTAATAACATGGAAGAATAAATAGAGTACCCTTTTTGATTGAATTTGTCCATTCCTTATAAACATTCGAAAATGTCTCTCTTTTGCAGATCCTTACGTGAAGGTGGAAATGTACGTGAATGGAATACGTGAGGCAAAACACAAAACCAAAGTGCGACAGAACCTCACCGAGCCGGTGTGGCATCACCAATGTGTATTTGACATCAACCGAGAAAATCCGAAACTTCTGGGACACGTCTTCGTCTTTTCAGTCATGCACAAAGACATGATGACCGGGGCACACAGAATTGGAAAGGTAAATTCTCTCTCTGCACTTTTCTCTTTATCATTTGTCTTTCATTGTCTCTTTTCTTTCTCTGTCTCATTCACTAACCTTTCTCTTGTCTTCTCGTGTCTTTCTATCGCTTCTATTGTCCCCCCCTCTCCTTCCGCTCTTTCCTTTCTGCTCTCTACTGTTTTCTTTTTTAATTTGTCTCTTATCTCCCCGACTCTCTCGCCTCTCTTCCTCTCCCGTTCCCTTTCATTCCCCCAGACACGAATGCTATGAAATTTTGCTTGATGAAAAAAAGAACTTTAAATCATCACTTAACATTTCAAGAAGTTTTTCTGTTTTATACCAAAATGAAGTTTAGTTTTGTGCACTTCTGAAATAAATGTAATACAACTTTTGCCGCTTAACTAAAATGTTCACCAAAAGGATAAATTCTGTTGAATAAAATTGAGTGAGAAAGTTTTTTTTAAGTAAATTCTGAAAAGCTGAATATATGTTTTATAAAAACTTGTAGCTTCAGAAGGTTTTTCAAGTATTTTCTTTGTTGGTGAAAAATTTGCAAAAGCTGGAAAATTCAAGTCAGATTTTACTAGCAAAGCGGCGACGTGTCTTGTTAACTTTCAAAAAGGTTTCATTCTTGTGGGATACGTTCGTTCTCCCTATTTAGTTAGTTTATGGTCACATGACAGGCTCCAGACTGTCGTTCAAAAATATTGGTTGTAACACCTGATTGCGTGGGCGTTATTCGTATTTATTATTATTTAACCAATCAGCAATCAGAAAAAATAGCAAGTTCTTTGTGAGCCACTTTTTTTTTAACAAAAGTCATAATTTTGAAGAAGATATATAGCAAATGCATTTCAGTATTTTTCAACCAATAAGATTTGTCTAGAAAAAATTCAAAAATTGAAGTAGAATGCTAAAATACTACTGTAACAAAGACACCTTAAAATGATGACATGTTATTGACTGAGTCTTTTCCTACTGAGTCTTTTCCTACTGAGTCTTAGGACCAAACGTCGCAAATCTTAATGGTATGATCTTTGCTTGACATCCTAACTGTCAGGGTTTCAATTCTCAGTAGTGGATGCGCACTGCTGATGAGTCCCAAATATAGGACGAAACGGCCGTCCAGTGCTTTCTGCATTCTGTAGAGGTTTCTATCAGACTCGATGAATTAATTATATATATATATATATATATATATATATATATGCGCGGTACTTCAGTGATAGAGGTAACATATTTAGTTGGATTGATGTGAATCTGTAACCCTGTGTTTCATGCTCTTTGCGATCGTCAGACAAAATAGCGTGAAACCCAGGGTCAGAAACTCACATCAATCCAATTAAATATATATGTGTGTGTGTGTGTGTGTGAATAAGACAGACGTCATATTGCACGTAAGGCACCTTTCGACCAATGCTTTTTCAATGGTGTGCATTGGCAAATTGAAAATCAATTAAAGACACAACCATAATAACGAAAGAGGAGGGAAAGTTGGAACGTGATTAAAATAAAGTAAATTTTAATTATAAATAATTTAAAAAATTCAAAAAGGGGGGAAAGGCAAATTCCACAAGAGTATAAAAGAGATAAAAGAGACACCCAGTCCCTCCAACAACCGTAAGGAGTGCATAAAATGCTCGTTTTGTCTACACAGGCTTTGCTGATCAAATTTTATGAATACAGCCTCGAGAACTCGGTGATTGTAAACCGAACGAGCATTGAGTATAATTGAAAACCAAGTGTCTTCATAGTCGGTGACACAGTCCGGGCTGTCGAGCAAATGTTCCCCAATAGACGAATCGTGGACTGCTTGTGTAGACAAAAGGAGCATTTTATACGCTCCTTACGGTTGTTGGAGGAACTGGGTGTGTCTTTTTTACCTTTTATACTCTTGTAGAACTTGCCTTACCCCCTTTTCGAATTTTTTAATTATTTATTACTTTATTTTAATCACGTTTCAACATTCCCTCATCTTTCGTTCTTGTGCTTGTGTCTTTGTTTACCAATTTGCCAACGCACCACCTTTGAAAAAGCGTTGGTCAAAAGGTACCTTACGTGCAATATGTCATCTGTTTTGTTCAAATCTATGTTTTATTTCTGTAGGTACAAATCTCTTTTTGTATATCTATCTATCTATCTATATATATATATATATATACTTTTTTTTTCAGATGGAATTAGGTTGGTCCAGTCATGGTGAATTACTGAATCATTGGTATGAGATTATGGAACATCCCCATCGTCCAGCCG